TTCATTAATCTGTATTAAACTATTAATAAATACGTTTCAGTTGATTGCTCTTTAGTTAATTCCCACTTGAAGATTTGATGACATCTTAATTATATTTATAATCTTCATTTTGTAAAAAATTAATTGAAATGTGTTATTCGGCTTTTCCGGAAACCAAAGTTGGATTGCTATGCAGATTTGACTTTATTTTATTCAATAATTCCTTTATGCATTGTCGCACAAATCTAATTAATCCATGTTGAGACTATTTCTATCCTGCCTTGATAGGCATTGGTGAAGAGATAACCCTTTTTGTCTAAATAATTGCTCTCTTAACTACTAAATTTCACGGACCGTCTAATAACAAGAGGGTGCCTAATTATCCTAGAATCTGATAAGTGCTCTATTCTCTCATGAATCATTACTTACATGCTGTGGATGTATAAACACACAAAAACAACATGGGTCCATCAAAAAACTGTTCAGCTACGTAAGCCTTGACTCATTTAATAACATACAAGGAATAGTTAATATATCATGACTCATCGCAATATGGTCGCAAATTAGACTCACTACTCGTGGTGTTTAGTGGCTCTTATTAAAAATAGTGTCGTTCTCACGACTTTTATCAAGGCAGGCAAAAACTTGGGCACTGCTTCATTGATGTCACACGAAACAGTGCCGAGGACCTTTCCATAGTTTAGTCAGAGTAATCTTACACCGGTTTCTGACAAAGCCAATTTACAAATCCTTACCTTTCAGCTTTTCATGCGAAATGAGCTTTCGGTTAAGTGAAATTATCATATATTCCATTTGTCCAGGTAAGATGTCAATCTCATTGTCCAATTAAGCACATGACAAAGAGGCGAAATTCGGGGAACAAAACTGCGGGTAACGGTCGCATTTTTTACCGCCTGTCCGCTGACATCTTTATGGCGACAGCACCAATATTCCTTTCATCCTGACCCAGGGGAATGTAATGTTGAATAAGACCTATGCAATGCCTTAATTCAGCAGAAATGTTTTGCACTATTTCTATGCGAATTCAGGTATTTTAGTGCTCAGTGGCGTTGACGGTATTGGCTCCTCACTTTTCGATGTAATACCTCTTGGCATGGAATTCGTGATACATACAGGACTGATGGATGAGATGAATGATATGTTGTCCACTCTAAATGACACTAGAACGACAGGCACAATCGAGAAACCCTTCCGATTTGACCGCGTCTCATAAGCGAGGGCAGACGCGCCTACGAGATGGGAGTGGAAGTGGTAATATACAATGCAGATCTTACCTCCAGATCAGACCTGTTTTGCTGCCTTATTTGTATCTCTTGTCTTCTAGCTCTCTTCCATGGCTCTATCCTCCCCTGCCACCCTTTCTCTGTCTCTCCAGTTGTTTTCCCTTCCTGTACCCCGCTTAACAGAATCTCGAAATTGGTTGATGCATCCCTCTTAATTCTCAACCCTTCCTCCTTCATGCAGCTCTTTCTCCGCCCGTTCCTTCAGTCTATTCCTGTCCACCCTTTCCCTTTTCCTGTACTTTCTCTCACTCGCACACATGTATGAAAGTGAAGTCATTGCTAGCCCTTAAGCCGACGCTAGACTCCAATCCTTTACATTCGTATGCGCATAAATAGACAGACAGGTAGGTAGACAGACGTCTGAAATGGAGCATTGTGACGGGCAGAGGATATGGGCAGAGAGAAATGCGAACAGAAGGCCTTGTAGCACACCTGGCCGGTGGGTCCTTTGGTACCATGGTGCTAACAGACCTCTGTTCTACTCCTTCCTCGAACCGTGGAGGCTGGAGGTGACGAAGACGCCGCGCAAGTGTTCAGGCTGCTCGGTGTGGAGCTGAGGCATCCGGGCTTTGCAGGCCTCCGGACCGGCGGTGCTGTGCAACGCTGATCTTCTGTGTTGCCTGGTGAGCCGAAGAGTTGGTCTCCTTCGTGAGGCGAGGTGAGCTGAGGCGATGAGATGAGCTGGATTGAGGTGTTGAGGTGTTGAGGTGCAGCAGTGACGGCTGTGACGACTGTCTTCGGCTCTACCACATGCAAGAGGCGCCCTCGACCGCCAGCTCCAGTGTGCCCGACACGAGCCCAACAGCCACAGCTCAACCCTAAAGGCTGAAGGTGGTTGGAGAAAAAAAGGCCGGCCTCTCCGTCTCCAAGCTCGTATTCATCTTTTGTCTGTGCCCCGACCAATCTGTGCCTACCATAAACTTGCTGAACCCCAACAGGTGGTGGGAAATGGAGCCGATCTGCGACACCCTCTAGTCGGCCTACTCTTTTTCTGTGAACACCCGGTCTATCTCTCTACCGACGCATGCCCTCTTTCCTCTCTCCTATGCCGAGGTTTTGCAGAACACAGGCCACACTCGTGCCTTTCGCCTCTCGTATGGCGAGGTCTCGTCTGGCCTGGCCTGGCCTCCCTAGGCTCTAGTGTCCCCTGAACAGGGTACAGAACCGGCATCATCATCGACCGCCTGTCCATCTACCGAATCGTTTTCTGTAGGCTAGCCAGCCCTGTTTGGCGCGTTTAGCCTGTTCGGTGTGTTTGGTGTGTTCGGTGTGTTTGGTGGGCTTGGTGAATTTCAGTGTGTTCACCTTGTTCACTGGGCCACCACTCTGTCCTCGGTCCTCTCACTCGCCAGCCCTGCACGGTATCCGCCCGCTTTCAACTCTCGCCTGCCCTTCCAATCGATACGCAAACCCCCTCGCCGGGTAGCGAGTGTGTTCTCTGATTGGCGCAGCCGTTTTTCTAACGCGTCTGGTCTGCTTTGTTCAGTCTCGCTCATCTGGTCGCCTCTCTCGCCTCTCTTGCCTCTGCGCTGAACAACTCCGGCCCGTCGGACCGGCCCCAGTTCAGACGACCAGACGTCCAGGCCGACTGTGCACAGCCACAGCCACACAGGCACACTTCACCCCGGTCCGCTCGTGTCTGGGTTACCTGTTCTCGCGGCGCTGTCCGTCTATAGCCCGGCCTTTGCCGGCTTGCACGCGGCCTCCGGTCCTGCGGGACCGCTGACCAGGCCCGACTAGCCGGTCAAGTGTGTGCGGAGGCCACGTCTCGGCTGCTTTTTCCTCTCATGACCGGGCCGGAGCAGGCCTCGGTCAGGCCAGCCGACAGACCGGTCGACAGGTTGACAGACGGGCAGTCGGGCCGGCGGGCCGGCACGCAGGCCGAGGGATGAGGTTGACCGAGCTGGCCCGTTGAGCTGTGGCATGGAGGCGAAGACCGGCTTTCCTCCGTCCTTTGTCTCGCTTGGCCGGCCCGCCGGCCTGACCCGTTTCTGTCACTGGCCCACTCGGACTCTTCCTGCTTGTTTCAGGCTAGCCGAAACGCTGTCTGCCATATCTTTCTCGCGCATCCTCTGCGCA